ATTTTAAAAGATAGTTCACTTTAATATCAGAAAGTAAGTTCTGCCTCGCAATAGTAATAACGCTAAAAAATGTTAGCCAAAAACTAACGAGTTGTTTAGGAGTTTCTTTGGTGTTATATTCCATTTATTTTCTGCATTCGTACTGCGGGTGATATATAACAAATTCTATTAGGTTTGTTTGTATATTATTAACTAAAAATTTCAATCAATAACTCGGATAGTCATCTGCTTATAATACATATAAATACTGAATAGTTTTCAAGACCCCCTTTCTTTTACCCCTTTAAAAGAGTCTCTGTATACCGCTGCTGCCACTGTTCACCGAATATCTTAGTTGTTTAACAACTAAAAAGTTATTGTACGAAAAAGAATTTCGTTTGCCAGACAACACGCGCGCTTTTAATATTTACTTCAGTATACTTCCCGAGTACTTTATAATCTATAATATATGGCACATGCAACAAGATCGTGTTGTATAATTTAATTAATTGATATACACAGAATTGAAATGTAAACAATGGAAAAGTGGCGAAAGTAATGGTATATGGTATAACAAAATCTTTATATACAATTATATATATCCACAAAACTATAAGTATGTGAGTAGTTCAATGTAGCCTCTTCGATGTTTGAGCTACATATATTATACGGATGCGGCTGTCGATGATTTCCATGAAGCTGCTTTTGTTTATTGCTGCTTTTGTTGAGCAAAAACGCAATACTTCTGATTAATTTTACAATAAAAATAATTAAAATAATAATACTAATAAGAATAATAGGCTTTTACGTTTTTTACTTTATATTTCATTAGTATTCCGCGATGATATTTCGCTTTCAAATAGGAAAGCTGTACGTAGTTGTATTTCAATGGGAGTGCCTTCGAGGAGAATTGAATTTCTTTATGAGTATTTCACACAAATTTATTTAACACAAAAGCCACACAAGCAACCATTTTTCCATTTTTCCATAAAACATTTTTTATGTTTTAATTATTATTAATAATCTTTTATTGCATAATTAGAGTAATAAAGTTTATTTCATGCACTTAATACACAAACTAATTCCATGAATCGCACGATTTATAATTTTTTGAAAAGAATTCTTTAAGAAAAAAACATTTGCCTAATGTCGATAAATGAGCGAACCGAAAAAGACGTCCGTTAACGATAGTGCATTGCGCAGAGGTTCAGAAATAACTGATGAGAGACTTTAAAAATTGTGTGTAAATAAAAAACAAGCTAAACTAAACTAACTTGTATTATAGAATCTCGAACCGGCACTCTTTTGCCACCGATATACTAACACACTAAAGATACTTTTCTGTGTGTATAAGATACAAGCTCCACATTGCAAAGATACTCGCTCGCAATGTTTGTGCTATTATTGTAATCGTCTTATAAACTAACGTCTAAACAAATGCAGAAGGCCAGGTATTTATTGTTTCAATAAGAAACACTGGAGAGTTTTATCTCCGTGAAAACAGAAGCAGATACGTGCCTATATACGTACGAGTATCTGCGCAAGTTGTGCGGATGGATGGATCTTCATTAAATTGAAAACAAACATCATTACTTGTCTTTCAGCGGAGAGCGATTTGGGAACGAATATAAAATGACTTTATAATTTTCTGTTTACTGAACATTTAAATGCGTGCAGACATTTAAATGTATTCAAATCCTTTTCTGATTTTACCTGATATATACACTGAAATTATTTATTGCTTATTGGAATATATAAGAGTACAATATAAAAATTAGAAATTGAAATTTAGTAATATACTATTAAACACTGAAATTAATTATTGCTGATTGAAATATATATAATAAAAAATAAATTAAATAAAAAAATCAAAAAAATTAAAGAACCTTTTGAGGCGTTTCAACCAGCAAGCAGATGAGTAGCTCAGATCAATATAAGTAGATCTTGATCTAGATAAGTTACATTACTTGTTAGACAATATGATTAGTTCTTGTTAATTTAAAATTTGCACTTTATTTATATATAATAAAAAAAAAAAATATATATAAAAAAATAAATACAAAAAATAAAAAAAATTAGAAATATAGTTGAGCACGCAAATTATTTGTGTATTATTATGGTAGTATTTAGTAATATATTATTAAACACTGAAATTAATAATTGTTGATTGAAATATATATAATAAAAAAATCAAAGAACCTTTTGAGGCGTTTCGACCATCAAGGAGATGACTAGCTCAGATCAATATAAGTAGATCTTGATCTAGATAAGTTACATTACTTGTTAGACAATATGATTAGTTCTTGTTAATTTAAAATTTGCACTTTATTTATATATTATAAAGAGAATATGTATTTAAAAAGAATAAATACAAAAAATAAAAAAAATTAGAAATATAGTTCAGGACGCAAATTATTTGTGTATTATTAGTATTTAGTAATATATTATTAAACACTGAAATTATTAATTGCTAATTGGAATATACATATATAATATAAAAATTTAAAATATACTTTAACAGTATTTTATTATAAAATATATTAAAATTCAAATTATTATACTAAAATTAAAGATTACTACCATTTCATAATACTAGAGAATTATTTCACAAATAAATATAAATAGATTAACGACACACAAAAGCAAACCGATTAAAGCATATTTATAAAAATGATAATCTTATTATATTTCAGTTATTTCTGAATCTGTGCTCAATGCATTATCGTCAACGGACTTAGTTTTCGGGGTTACGTTTATCGATAGGTCAGTGTTTTCGTTATAAATATATTGAATCATTTTCTAATCTAATGTAAAGTCTTCCCAAACACCCGCTACAAAAAAAAACCTACTATGTAGTAGGTGCTGCCTTGCCCTACTGACCAATATGTGCTTGTTTGCACAGGGCCTTGAACTGGAACGTTTTTCGTTTGCGTTTAAAATATGGTATAATTTTAATATAATAATTTTAAAAAAATATCAATTCGGTTCCGGTTTTATTGGTTTTTCCTATTCCTAATATATTTTAAAAACGTTTAAAATCGCATATATAATTCTTTTCAAAAAGCTTAGTTATCGTATTTATTTAATAAAAATATAAAATTCTGTATATTTATAATTAAAACTAATTTAACTAACTTTTATCTTTCATTCGTTAAAGTTTAAAAACTGAAAAAGATATTGCTTGCATATAAGCAGATATTGAGCTATACGTTACCTGTAATATACGGTACATGACCTACATATATATTATTTTCAATTTAAATCATGGTTTTGATACTTGGTTAAAAAGCATTTTTTGTAGACTAAAGATGTCTTAAGGTGACTTTAATTTTTTGAAATTTAATTTTTATTCTGTCAAACAATTTTATGACATTTTACAATTTTTTGACAAATAAAAGATATTTCCGGCATGATAATTTACAATTAAGATAGTTGTCTTGGTGTGGTACTCTTTTTAAGTTAAGATTTTATTTTAAGATCTGGAACTGTTGAGATTTAAAGAAGTGTGTTACATTCGGATCCACTATTATATAATCGAGCTCATGATTGTACTGAACTCATTATTACTAGATTACTAGACCAAAGTACTCTTCTATTTTTATAGAAGCTTAAATGGCTTATTTATAGTTATTAACATATTAAAAATTATAATGCAGACTGAATATGGAATGATATAATTTTTTTAATGTCTGTTACATTCAAGTCTGTCTGAGGAGACAAAACATAGTTTTTGCTTAAAAGCGAATAAGACCTATTCTGGAACGGTAAACCACGGAATCGTTTTCACAAAACGAAGCAATTTTTTTAAACCATTTATTGTAAAAATCGTATAGTTGGGTAAAGTAAGAAAAACTGTGTGTTAACAAATCCACTTGTACGCTTTCTGGCGAACACTATCAGACTAAGTGAGTGACATTTTCCCCTCCTCATTTAACCTTCAGCTATGACAGTAGTCATCGTAAAGAGGTAATTTATAATTAATTAGTGTTTCTGTTCATAAGATAATCTTCTATCCAGTTACTAATACAACTATTCTTGAAATGTGAGTCCTGCTTTTATTTGGTTGATAAAAGTAGTAGTATTTAGTAGTATTTTTAGTTCCAACTATATTGGATATCAAACCTAGTTACTTAGGTTTACCTTAGTTACTTAAGTATATAAACTGATAGTTTTTTAAACCTTTATTATACAAATATTTGTATTCTTTATTTTCTTCAATCTCACACTTCCACCTTTTAGTGTCGACAGCGTATTCGCAAGTCTTCTTTAAATTTAGTAGCATCGTCTTTATTATAAAGACCTCAAATCTTCTTGTTATATCTCAGGATTTATCTTCTATCAAATGTCAAATATCTTAAATCATATTTTTGCTATATATAAAAAATTGAAATTATTAAAGAATATAATATATATACATATAAGAATATAAGTGCAATAAATAATTAAAAAATTATTTTTTTACTGTGTACATGAGATTCAATCATTTTTTTTATTAAATAAATTTTGGCTTTCTCATAACTGAAGTATTTATTTTTTTTTTTTTTTTTGTCATTTTAAAGGCGCCAGCAATTTCACACAACAGGTTTTTCTTTGCCTTCAATGAAAACAGAAAAGGCATTGTAATTATGTCCTGCTGTGTGTAAAATGCCTTCCTTTAAATTTAACCAGGTGCGGATTTTCAAGTAAAATTATTATTATAAATTTTATTAAAACATGTCATGTTTATAATATTACATTATAAAAAAATATTAAAGAAAATATTAAAAATAAATTGTATGTATTTTTTTAGTAATAAAAAAAATAAAGAAAATACAAACATTAAAATAATATAAAAAAAGAATCTGTGCAGATTATGTTAAAAAAAGTTAATTACAAAAATAATTTTATATTAAAAATTTAACTTAAAAAATTAAACAAATCTATATATATAAAGAAATATATATAGATTTGTAAAGAAAACAAAAAATTTTTTTATGCTGGTACTGTCCTGAGGTAATTGTAAAAGAATGCAAAATTGATTGAAGTAAAACTTGTGGAAACTCAAAGAACTATATCTTTAACTATGGCAGTTTTTTTTTTTAAAGTCCAGAATATCGGAAACATAAATAACACGAAATTCTTTTTCCAAATAAATCAATATTATAAATACTTTTAACTTTTTGCAGACTATATGTCCTTTGATCCCAAATGATAGCGTAGAAGCTTTACTTCTTCATCGAATTCGATTGTTAATTACTGCATTCTCTTACTCTAATGTTTTCAATATATATTTATATATATTACTTTATAACGATTCCACTATAGTTCTTATCATGCAATTTTTTTGTGCCATAAGAAATTCAGTGTAGAGCAAAGCTATACAGTTTATGTGTTTCTTGAAAGGAGAGTAGTAGAATCCTTAGCTTTTCAAATTTGTGGAGAGATTTAACAGGTATACATTATCTTGTTTGAAATTTACGTCAATAGTTATTAGAACAATAAAACGAAGTTGTGTTTGCCTACTCTTGGTTAACGGTACGTAAGAAAAAATATTATTTAGTGAGGGCGTCTGTTTTGTAGCCGCACCTAACCTGGTGAACAGACGCTACAAAGACATCAGTGAACCCTTAAATCAAATACGTCGAAGTGGCTTCACTGGATTTCCCTGTCACATTTACCGTAATCCAAGGATGATGTTGTTTCATAGGAATAGAATGTTGCGTAGGATACATTAATATCATATATGACTAAATGATATTAATGTATTAAATTACATGTGAAATGGTAATTTAAACACTTGTTTTGCATTCCTTCGAAATTCGGAGTCTACAAGGAAGATTTCCGAGGCATACCACGTGAGAACATCATAAACTTTTTTGAATTGGTTGAAATTTACTCCAACCATATCGAGTATTGCATCCTGCGTTAAATCAATTTGCGTTACCTAATAGAAATGGAATGTTTTAATCGTAATTTTTGAACATTATCAATACATGATCAAAAAGGGTGGAATACAGTTATAAGTGTACAGACCTGGCATGCCATATAAATTGCCGCTGCAACTAAAGATTCCTTTGAAGTATTAAACATAAATTCCATCTCCAATGCATTGTTTGCTATTTTCCTTGCCAACTGTGTCGTTGGCAGATTAAGTTCTAAGTAAAATTAAGTATTTACTATTTAAATATTTACTACTAAGTATATATTTACTAAACTTACCCAAATATTTAGAAATGCGGAGCATATAAGAGGCGTCATCAGTGTCACTCATATCTATATTTAGTAATTTGATTATAACTAAATGACAATGAGTAATTTGTTCACTGCAGACTCCAGAAGCTAAGGACAACTGTTTAATGGTACTCGGTATAGATTCTAGAACCATTACTATATATAAGCACGAGGTCATTTTTGCCATGTTAGAGTAATAGTATTGCACTTTCAGATCTTCCAACTATGTTATAGAAAATTTATATAAATAATTAATGAATTAAAAGTACTTTTTTACTTGTTTAAAAAGCGAAGTGGCACTGTGGGCGATTCTCTTAGGTGCGCCAAATTTACGTGTCATTCGATGTATGTACCTGTATACATAAGCAAGCGTCTCTTTTAAGATACTAGAAGTTATTCTACAATTGAAGTGCGGAATTCCGTCGCGTTCCTCAAAAAACATGTCTTGACTATTAACGTCACAGAGTTTACGACGTTTTGAACATTTTTCAAAGCTTTTATACCCCATTTGATAATTTTTTCCAGCAAAACAATGAAACCAATTATGAAAGTATATGTTAGCAAATGAAAGTTTAAACAAATCAAAATTTTAAAATTTTCTCTGGCAACTACAATTTTTTTAATTTAAAGTCTGACAGTTTATATTATGTTTAGACGTAGAATTATCGTATCTGTTTAGTATATATGTGTATATGGATTTTGAATATAAAATGGCACATGTTGCTATTGTAGAGTTAAGTACTATAATCTAAATGTAGCTTTACTTGTAAAAAGTTTTGCATCTTAAGTTTTAGTGCGGACAAAAGAAAAGATAGATACGAATTCCAGTATAGTTAAAGCTTAGTGTGGAGCAGGGATAAGCCCCCCAGCCACAAAAGAGTAAAAGTGCGCAATAGCATTAACTCAAGAAACCACAGCAACAACAACAACAAACATATATAAAAAAAAAGCATTTGACATATCTAAAAAGTGATACTAATAATCACTTGATGATTATTTTTACAAATCTGTGAAAATTATGGCTTTTATATAATTTATATATTCAATCTATCACATATTTTCCTAACAAATCGAACGCTTCACCATTCTAACGTTTTACAGCACTGTTTGCTTTTTACGAAATAGTGTAAAGAAAAGAGAATAATTTTCAATCGTTGCCTATTCTTCTCGACTGCCATGTTTGTGGAATAAATTGTGTAGAATTTTTTTTAATTTTTTGTTTAAAAGGTAAATAAAAATTATTTAATTAGTAAAAATACTAAATATAACAATTGTAAAGTGTGTTAGTTAATAAGTTCGTACGTAACAATTTCTCTAAATGTTAAAATGTGCAAAAAAAAATTTCGCCTTTGACGACAAATGATACAAAAAATATTTGATGTAGTATATATTTTAAATTGAATGTAGTTTTTTA